AATTTTGATATTATCAATGATGTTTTGGGCAGACAAGAGAAGATAAGGATTGTCACCAAGTCAAAAGTTGGTCACCCACTCATCAATTAGTCATCAAATCAATAGTTCCCAATTTTGGCCTATAAAAGGAGGCATTTGCCATGCATTTAGGCATCTTGGTTTCCAGATCAAGATCATGTTCTTGCTTTCTCTCTTTGTATTTTTTGTAATGTTTATGCTTTGCTTTCATTAATATCAAGTTTATGCCTTTCATTTCCTTTCATTTACTTAGCTAACTTTTATCTTATTTATGTTCTTATTTTGTTTATTTATTTTTCTTTCTTTTATTATGTTTAGCTAAGTTTATTATATCAAGGTGAAAAGGTTACACTAATGGTGTAAGAATAAGTATAGTATAAACTTAATATGGACTTTAATGTTTGATACTAACGTGTTTTGTATTTGTTATCTTGTTCACTCTTTAATACTTTGCTTGTTAAATGACTAATCTTGATTTATGTTGTATAACACTTGGTACAACAAATGCTTGGCACTTTCATAGCCCATACTGTATGGTATAACTGACACCTGAGTTATGAAAGGAACTTGATTTGTTGTTAACATAAGTTATAATCATGAATGCTTGACGAGATTTATAAGTATTAGCATTAATTGCATAAGATGACTAATGTAATCATGTTAACAATCTATAATCAGATTGGAACCTTCTTTGTGTGCGGTTTCCAATTGAATAATAAGAGTTTATACTATACTTGTTTGACATACCATTAGTGGATCCTCTAACCTTGACATTTATTCTTATTGTTGTTAAATCTTTACGTTAATATTCCATCTCAAAGTTCTCATCATCATCATCATCTTCTTCTTCTTCTTCTTCTTCTTTATTATTATTATTATTAGTATTACTACTACTACTATTATTAGTACTATTATTATTATTATTGTTATTATTGTTGTTATTATTATTATTATTATTATTATTATTGCTGTTATAACTATTATTATTGTTGTTGTTGTTATTGTATTATTATTTATAATTTGTACAATTAATCTCCCTATGGTTCGACCCCGGTCTTGTCGAGTTATTTATTACTTCGACACTCCTACACTTGGGAGAAGACATCAATCTTTTCGTCGTGTCACCTATGATGATGGATCATCAAAGAGGGGGGGACCTATATTTCTCAGGTACGTGTACATGCATATTGATCATAATGCATTGTTTTTAGCGTTGTCATATCGGTGTTTCATCATCACCTTTTAGGTACTGCATTTTTAACCCTACCTCATTTTGTGTGTGCTTTTGAGCCCTCACTTTTTTCCAAGTGCGCCTTTGAGCCACCATTTTCTTAGGTAGTGTGTTTTTAACCTTACCTCATTTTGAGTGCGCCTTTGTGCCCTCACTTTTTTTTGAGTGCGCCTTTGAGCCACCATATTCTTAGGTAGTACGTTTTTTAACCCTACCTCATTTTAAGTGCTCCTTTAAGCCCTCACTCTCAGGTAGTGTGTTTTCTAACCCTACCTCCTTCTGAGTGCGCCTTTAAGCCACCATCTCTTGGGTAGTGCATTTTCTAACCCTACCTCATTTCAAATGCGCTCTTGAGCCAACATCATCTTGTTCTAGTTCTTTATTATTATTATTATTATTAGTATTACAAACTACCACAACAAGTTTACAATTTATTCATAACCAAGATATTTACATCACACATAAATAAACTACTAAAGTGTGGTGGCAATGACAAAATAACAATGATCCATCTTTGACATGCGCTTGAAGGGGCTGTCATGGTGTATGTACCACTGTTGTATGGTTAACTCAATCTTTATGGTTTACTGCTCCATGGTCTTTCTCATATTTTTTATGGTGTTGTCTGCTGACATTAATATAGAAAGATCAAAGGCATTGAAGGTTTGATGGTCTTTTCTCTCTTAATTGCTTTGTTTTCTAACTTTTGAATTTGCCCATGAAAATATTATTGGGTTACATGGATCATATGATTGTATAGATCTATTTAAGTGGAGAAGAACGGTGGTAATCTCACCTTATTTGGAGGTTGAAAGAGAGGGTAATCGAACAAAGAAGTTTTGAGAGATATTTTCTCTCTCTTTTCGGTTTATGATGATGTAGAGGTTGTTGAATTCAATTGATAGAAAGATGAAAGCTTTTAAAAAAATAAAAAACAAAGACAAAAATTTAGGTTTTAAAGAGAAAAAGATGAGGCTAAAGTTTTTTTATAGAAGAAATGTAAGGGAAGATGAATTGTTTTCTTCTATAGTTTATTTCTCTAAATTTCAGCTCATATACTTTCAAAACAAATTTATGATGGCTCTCTCCTATAATGGCTTGGGTTTTTTGTTAAGGTTTTAGGAAAGTGTAGAGGATGAAGATGATAAATAATCCTTTTTTTTCTTTTTCTTTCTCTATTCTCTAAAATAAATTATGATGGCTCTCTCTTATGGTGTTTAAAGCTTTTGGTTAGGGTTTTGAGAGAGTTTGGAGGAAGAAATGATAAATAGTCCCTCTTTTCTCCTTTTTCTTTCTCTATAGCATAACATTTTTGTTATTTTCTCTATATTACTTGGTTCTAAGTTATTTAATTATATTTTAGCCTTTTATTTTTTTATTTTGTACTTTAGCCCCTGTGTATTTTACTTTCTAATTTTATTTTTTGATTATTTAGTTTTGTTTTTGAAAAACAATGTCAATATCAATTTGATAAGATATCAAGAATTATAAAATATACATTAATGCATTGAAAATATATCTCTTTAAATTTAATTTTTTAAAAAGACATCAACAATAAAAAAATAAACGAGAGAATAACTAAAATACATCAAAAATATATTTTTTGAATTTGTTTTTTTAATTAATGGAATTTATTTTGGAATTGGAGCTCAAATTTTAAATTATAACACTTATGATGTTTAAAATAAATAGAAATCTCAGAGTGGGGTTGGGTTCTCCATGCACACCTTGACTTATTAGTCGGGGCTAAATAAATAGACCCCTTCTTCTAGATCTAAAGCACCTAACCTATATGCTAAGTTTTGCATTTTTTAGAATAAAATTATCTTTAAATCAATTTATTAAAATTATACTTAATTAATGACCCCATATGCCATAACTTTCAATAACATTTAAGTCTTTAATGTTAATTTTTACAATTCTTTTGTAATAATTACATGCTAACTTAATCTGTATAATTTTTTTAACATACCATCTCATTAATTTTCAATGAGAATATGATATCTATTTTTTATTTTTTATTAAATATTTTAATATAAATTTCTCAAATTTATTATTCCTAAAGTTATTCATATGAGTGTGTGAAAATGATCGATTCATAATTTTTATTTTTTTATTAAAAATTAATTTTCCAATCATAATAAATACATATTTTTGAATGTGTCAAAACATGTTTATATATATATGAACAAGAAAACAGGTTTTTTTTTTTTAAAAAAAAAGAGATTAGTTTATTGCTCTTGGATTCAAGTTATTAGAGTTTTGATGAATAATTTTTAAGTTCCACTAACTTTTATTCCATTAATCATGCTACTAATAAAAAGATATGTTATTGTTAGAAAAATTAAAATTACATGAATGAGAGATGGTAATTTTAAGTAAGTTTTTTTTACTGTTAAAATCTTAATCATTATTTTTTTTATGAATATTTATTTTAATTTTCATATAATTAAATAGAAATAGATTTTTAAAAGTACCATACATCATGAAGTAAAATATTTGTATTTGTATATATATTTTACATTTTACAATGATGAGTAACTTCATGTTTAGTCTTTAAGCAGCATTAGTCAATTTTGTTTTACAATTTACTAGTAGATAGTTTTTCCAATTCACTTTAATAAGTGAAAGCATTATTTTTTTCAATATTCATGATGCTGTGAAAACATTAATAATGATAAAAAAAAAAATCCCTTCTCTAGGAGGGCTCTTGAGATGGATGCAATTAAACAAATCGATATTTAGTGATGAATTTGTGACTTAAATAATTTTTATAATAATAATAATAATAATATTTTTTTATGCAAAACTGTATGCCCTTTAAGATTCATCATTATATATATATGATCGATGGGCCCTTTTTATTAGTTTTTTTATTTTATTTTCTTTCTTTTTCTCTGACAAAAAATGCATATTATTTGGAAGAAAAAAAATCAATTACAGCTCTTGCATCCAATTGATCAGAAAGTTTGCAGACTGCGCAGCCAAGTAATCACGCAACCTACATTCTAAATATGTTGAGGATACTGGTTGACCCTTGGCACACCATGCCACATCTTGCTGACATTTTCATTCTTAATGATAGTATTTGAAACTTATTACTTTATTTATTTATTTATATTATGTCAAATCGAAAAACAATCTCAATATGAAATCATCTCAATGCGACCAACTCTATGATATAATAATATACATCACCCTCTCTCAATAAATCCTTGTTTTGCTGCTTTTGTTCATTCCTAATAATTTAAATGATATAATGCATAGAATAATTTAATTATAAGCAATCACAGGTATATCTTCCAAAGTTATAATTATTTATGGAGTAATATAGAGTTCAAATGACATTAGAGACTTCCTTCTTATGGAGATTCTCAAGTCAAATCACTTTTATAATAGCAATAATTAATAATAAATGATGATGATAATGAAATTATGTTATTCAAAGCTCAAAATCAAATACATTGCTTGCTTGAGAAAAAACAGTGACCAAGTCCAGGACATAATAGAGAGGATCTTCTTGGTCAAAACTTATTCAAGTGGTGTTGCAATTGGAGTTTATAGAGAACTTTCTTAGCAAAGCAGGAAAACAAAGAATATTTATACACACACACACACACACCTCTTTGCAGAGTTGGGTTTGTCTCGTTCTAGTGTATGTCAGATTGAAATCACCCACATACATACATATATACATACACATACATATATGTATGTATGTGTATGTATATATGTATGTATGTGGGTGATTTCAATCTGACATACACTAGAACGAGACAAACCCAACTCTGCAAAGAGGGGTGTGTGTGTGTGTGTATAAATATTCTTTGTTTTCCTGCTTTGCTATATTTATATATGTGGTTGATTTCAATCTGACATACACTAGAACGAGACAAACCCAACTCTGCAGAGAGGTCTTTGTCATCCAAAAGAATCAAAATGGGTGGGGCCATTGGAAAAAAATGGAGACTACTGCTGTAGAGGAAATTCAACGGCGTGCTGTTTTCCTTTGTTCCATGAAATTGTGTATTCTCTTGAGGGCGACTTCAAGTGTCTCCTCGCTCATGTTAGCGAAGCATACCCTAAACCATCCAGGTTCAGAGCAATGGCAAGAAGAGCCTGGAGATATATTTAGCTTCACTTCATGAAGGATAGACTTCCAAAGAGCCACTTCACCTTCTCTTGTTGGTGTCTCCAACAATGGACTTAAATTCATCCAGCAAAACAACCCAGCATTACCTTTCAAACACTCTATCCCGGCATTTCTCAATCCTTGAATTATCATTTCATATCTCTTCCTTAGCCTCTCTCGATTTTCCTTGATGTACTTCTCGGTGAACTTCTTGTTAGACAACATGGAAGCCAGGAGATGTTGTGTTTGAGAAGAAATCAATGTGAAGCTAGACATCCTTCTCGCAGTGGTGACAACTTTGTCATTATATGAGTATATAGTTCCAACTCTAAAACCTGGAAGACCAAGATCTTTAGAAAGACTGTAAACTATGTGAACTCTTTCTGAATCTTTATATCCACGAGCTTCAAGGATCTCAGCAATGCTTATAAATTCAGATGAAGAGAAGGTGGATCCTGAGTAGATCTCGTCGGACACGAGATGGATGTTTTTGCGGGTGGAAAAATCAAGAATCTCTTCCAGAACAGAGCGCTGGATTGTGGCTCCTAGTGGATTTGAAGGATTGGTTATAAGTACCCCTCTCACGTTGATGTTCATGGCTACTGCGCCCTCATATGCAGCTTCCAGGGCTTGAGTAGTGATCTGGAAATTGTTTGAGATATCACAGTGTATCGGTACAATTTTTGCACCGGTCCTCCACCTTAAATCTCTGTCAAATCTGAAACAAGACCAATTGGAGATCAAAAACTAGTACTCATGAAATGATTTGCTTTCAATAGAGTTCATCGAGGACCGCTTCTCACCCTGGATAGTATGGAGTTGGAACTAGCAAAGCATCACCAGGATTGGCTAGAATGAAGGTTAACAACTCGTTAGCAGCAGTTGCTCCTGCTGTCAGGACTACCCTGTCAGGGTCAAATTTTGCTCTTCCACCTCTGATTTGCTCCATGAAACCTGCCATTGCCTGCTTACAAATGCAATTGACATGTCAGGGTTTTCTTTCTACTATACGTTTGTTTTGGAATGCAAAGCTGCAAAGTTATCCTGGTTTTTTTTCTTTAAAAAAAACGAAGGCAGTACCTGTCGGAAAGATTCGAGTCCATGGTAATCTTGAAACAAGGCATTTTCTCTAAACCCTGGTGATCCCTTTCCCCAGCTAGATGCTTCTGAATGCTGTTCCAAGTACTCTTCTAACAAATCAAACGAAACCTGATCAAGGAAGAACAACAAAGTGCATAAGCTTAAGTGAGAAACTCTTGGAAAGGTTTGAAATATAAAAGCTTTAGTCCTTGCATGACATATTGTCTTGCCGGGACTTACTTGATTTTCTGCCAGTCCCATCTGTATGACTCCTGATGGATTAGATGATTCATCGTAAGGGTCTTCATCATAAGCTTTCCAGCCTGCGAAGTATGGGGAGTCCTCTCCGTGAGTTTCAGAAACTGCAACTTTTGAGAGTCCAACGGAGGGTTGCTCAATCTCTATGGCCATAATCCGATTTCTTGCACGAGATAGTAAGGGCCAAGGCCTCTACTATAAAATTAAGAAATCTGCTAGGCGTGGAAGTTGAGATGGAGAAGGAGAAGGAGAGGGAGCGAAGAGCAGAAAAGGAATAGAATTGTTGAATGAAAACTTTGTCACTAAACCCTCTTTATAGGGAAGTCATGGAGGCTTTGACATAGAACTGGTCCCACAACTTACCGGTTCTTGAGAATATATATATATATTAAAGAGCACAATATCGATAGCCGATTCTGTGTAATGCAAGCAATATCAAGATTAATCTCACCCTTTTTTACTCGATATTTTTATCTCCAATGACAACTGTTCATTTCTGTCATCTTGTTAAAGCTTCCTTCATCTAAATCTTTCTATAAGATCCACACCGAATATGGTGGTTGATGGCGGGTGCGTGTTAATTTTTTTCTTTTGAAAGGCTCAAAATTAACGATGATCGATTCTTTTAAGGCCTTATTGTTATAATAATAATAGTGGTCTTGTTAACATTTCAGCAAGTCCCCACTTCCCAACCTATGACTAACCAAATCCTTGATGCATGAAGGACTTAAGACTCAAAAATTCCATACTAAAACCAATATCTACAGCATGCAAATATTTCAAGAGATCTAAGAGTGGTTAAGCTCTGATTATCTGACAAAGATACCAATTTACACAAGATTAAGATTCTGATTTGGGAACAAAGTTGGGATAAAATAGAAGGTTTGAGAAGATCTTACGGGCCTACATGTAGCAGAACTAATATCAAGCAACAGATTTCGTAACATCATTAGATTTTCAAGTATCGTAGTTTCTAATCATCATGTAAACTGATCTAGTTTTGCAAGTCCTACTTGTGTCTTGGCAAATTAAGACATGTTTTTGGTAAACAAGTGCTGAATGTATAGAAACACGTAGAGATGAGGGATTATCCAGTGTCGCTGAAGTCAACGTGGCAGGAAAGTGTGTGCATGCTCCATCAACAACGTTAATGAGCAACAACATAATATAATTAATAAGCATAGGTCATTAATTAACTTGCTTAATTAATCACTTAACCGATGGCTTATATATATCACACAAAATGCATGCATGTTGAAGATGCATATCTATGAATATCTATACAGTTTGTCTGTCGCCTTAGCATGCCAGCATGTAAGGGTTAAGATACTTGTCTTGCGGATTTCAACTGACAAGCCCAGAGGATTAAAAACAGTTGATGGGGAAGAAATAAAAACAATAGAAATAAGAAAAACACGTTGGATAATTAATTAAGAAAGTATTGTGCTTCCTTTTCTTCTTCCTCTTCTTCTCTCTTGAGATGGAATATCATGTTTCTTAATTTAAATCATATATCGACGTGGGGTTCGATGAATATCCATCTCCGGTCGATGACGGCTACTCGGGGGCTTTGGCCTCTAAAACAGAGACAAAGATCTTGTTCTTGAGTACGAGATATGTATATATATATATATATATATTTGTGTGTGTGTGTGTGTGTGTGTTTTGTCGGAGTAATATTCTAGGTATAATTACCAGTTGCAGCGTTACATTTGCTCAAAACTAGGATGTATGGTTTTTTACATGTGGATGAATGATATAATTTCAAGAGTTTGAACCTTTCTTTAAAAAAAAACAAGGAAAGTTAGAAGAATAAGAGTGCTAGTATTGAAACTAATGATTAAATAAATTATTATTATTATTATTAAGATGCTAGTGAGAGGGAGTGTTACAACCCCAGATTTCATAATGAATAAATAAACAATATAAGAGTAATATATAAAACTGTGTATTCTATGTGTTTTCTGATTTTCTGCTGCTTTTATTCCACAAACCTTGTTAACTGCAAGAGCTGCTAATAAAACTTGGCATCACAGACGGACCACCCCAGCTTGCGAATTTTAATTAATTTTGTTTTGAATAAAGAAATCCACGTTCATCTGCAAAAAAAATAGTTTTACTTGTCCAGCTTGTTATTCTTTAAGCAAATCTTGCACGTTGTATTTAAATCTTTTGAACCATCAGTGCTCTAAAGTTCATTTGAGTTTACTTTTCAGTGATATATATGAACTTCTCCCGCTCTTTCATTGAATGGAGATCAATTGTTTACTTTTTTTTCTGGTTATTTTTGTTTAATTCTTTGAATTTCTAAGGAAGAGTTTTGCAGAGAAGATGAGAAGAGATTGTTGTATTTTTTTATTATTATTTTCACTAATACAACAAACTCTGCTTTTATACACATTACATGTAACTGATTCCATTATTTTAGGAATCAAGATCATCTCATCCATCCATTAATGGAGGGTCACAATTCTTACACATAAGAAACGGTTTGTAACTGATTTATAATAGTAAAAACAACTATAACTGTTATAACTGCTTTAACTGTTTTTTTAACTGATGTAACTACTTTAACAGAAGCTTCTTCTATTCTTCATTCTTCTCGTTATACTCTCAGGATTTACTTCTGAAGCTTTAAAAACAAGCTTAACTTTCAACAGCCTCTCCTAAGTTGCTTACTGGTTTAACTCCAAGATTCAATCTTAGTTACTTGAATCTATCTTTAGGCAATGCTTTCGTGAAGATGTTTGCAAACTGTTCTTCACTTCTATAGAATTTCACATCTATTACTCCCTCTTGCAGAGCCTCTCTTATGAAGTGATACTTCCTGTTTATGTGTCGAGTTCTTTGATGAAAAATAGGATTTTTGGCAATTGAAATTGCTGACATATTATCACAGAATAAGGGTGTTGCCTCAGCTTGCATTTCACCAAAATCATCAAGAACAAATCGTAACTAAATGGCCTGAGCAGTTGCTTCAGATGCTGAGACATACTCAGCTTCTACAGTTGATAATGCTACTGTGTTCTGTTTCACAAAGGATCAGAAGAACGCTCCATTTCCAAAGCTGAATGCATAGCCCGAAGTGCTCCTGCTATCATCTTCACTTCCTGTCCAATCTGCATCACAAAATCCAATAAGAGTTGCTGCTTGGTTCCTTACGTATTCAATCCCATAGCTGAGAGTTCCTTGCATATATCTTAGGACTCTTTTTGTAGCTCCCATATGAATCTTAGTAGGTCTAGTCATGAACCGTGATAGTAAGCTTGCAGCATACATTAGATCAAGTCTTGTTGCTGTCAAGTATAATAAACTTCCTACTATTTTTTTATAGAGACTTTCATCAGCCAACTCACTCCCATCCACCTTCTTTAGTTTCTCACCAGTAGCCAAAGGAATAGATACTGGTTTGCAGTCCTCAAATCCAAACTTGCTAAGCAAGGATTTGGCATACTTGCTTTGATGAATAAATACCCCTTGATCGGTTTGCAGTATTCTCATGCCAAGAAAATGATGAAGGAGCCCAAGATCAGATATCTCATACCTCTGCATCATTTCTCTTTTAAATTCACTAAGTAGCCTTTCACTGCTGCTAGTGTACACAATGTCATCAACATAGATTGAGACAATGATCAAATTTCCTTCCAGGTCTGACCTTGTATACAAAGTAGCTTCATTTGTGCTCCTTTTGAATTTGCACATAGAGAGATATGCATCAATTTCACTATACCAAGCCCTCGGTGCCTACTTTAGTCCATACAAGGCCTTTTTTAGTTTGTAAACTTTGTGTCTTGCATTCTTTACTTCAAACCCTTCAGGCTGCTCAACGTATACTTCTTCTTTGAGGACACCATTTAGGAATGCTGACTTCACATCCAACTGAAACAACTTCCATCCCTTCTGTGCTGCAAGTGCAATGAGAGTTCGAATTGTGTTCGGCCTTGTTACTGGTGCAAAGGTTTTGTTGTAGTTAATTCCAGATTTCTGTGCATATCCTTTTGCTACAAGGCAAGCCTTGTGTTTTTGTATTGTACCATCAAGATGAAGCTTAGTTTTGTATACCCATTTCACTCCTATCATAGGTTTATCAATCGGTCTCTCCACCAATTCCCAAGTATTGTTCTTCTCTATTACTTTCAATTCTTCCTCCATAGACTCCTGCCAGGCTTTATCTCCAAAGCTTCTTGATAGTTCTCAGGTTCTATGATGCACATGTAACACCTTGTATATATATCTTTCAAGGTTTTCAATTTTACTAGAGTAGAGCTAGATAAAGATTATTGACTATTATTACTGTCAATTTTCTCAACTAACTCTCTAACTGTAGAATTTTGATGGCAGTGTTCGATATTGTCAGGTTGAGCTACAGTAAAGTGTTCTTCAGAATTTTCACCTTCAACTTCACCTCTTTCAAGATTGAGAGATAAGTGGTTTTGGTTCCATAGATTTCTTTCCCAATTCCATGCTCTATCTTCACTGAAAATCACACTTCTTGAGAGAACAATTTTCTCAGATTTCAGGTCATATACTATATACCCCTTCTCACAGCTACCATATCCAACAAACACTCCCTTTCCAGCTTTGTTATCCCATTTCTGCCTTAGTGATGATGGAATGTGAGTGTAGCACAAACAACCCAACACTTTTAAATGTTTGACTCTTGGCTTCCTTCCTATGAAGGCTTCAAATGGAGTCTTTTCAATTATTGATGTTGTATAACATCTGTTTTGAATATACATGGCTGTATTCATAGTTTCTGCCTAGAAGATTACTGGCATTTCTTTCTCTAACAGCATAGTCCTTGCCATTTCACAAATTGTTCTGTTTCTCCTCTCTGCAACTCCATTCTGTTGAGGAAAGTATACAACTGTCAGCTGCCTCTCTATTCCTTGTTCTGCATAGAATTCTTCAAACTCATTTAAGGTATATTCACCACCTCTATCACTTCTCAGCTTCTTCAATTTATATCCACTTTGCAGCTCAACAAATGCTTTAAATTTCTTGAACACATTGAGTGCACCAGATTTTTTTCTAAGGAAGTATACCCAGCACATTCTTGAGTAATCATCAATAAATATGATGAAGTATTTGTTCCCTCTTACAGATTCATTCTGTATTGGTCCACACATATCAGTGTGGATTAGTTCCAGTGGATAGCTGGCTTTTAATGCTTGGTTTTTGTCGAATTTCTCCCTGTGATGTTTGCCTAATGCACAGCCTGCACATACATCTTCTACTTTTGTCAGAACAAGAAGTCCACATACC